GCTCCATCCAAGTTGCTGCAAAAGACATGTGTTTCTCTTTTTTGGTTGCTGAGTAATATTCCATTGTATATATGTACCACATCTTTCTAATCCTAAGTCTGGCATTATTTTTAGAAATCGCACTTCCAAAATATCAGGGGCCCTCGCTGGTGGTGCAACAGGTTAAGGCACAGCACTACAAGCTAGCATCAGCTGGTTTAATGTGAGTTCAATCCTCAGCCAGGGAGGTGACCCACATGGTGCAGCAGACCTCTCCTGACCTGCCTGCTGCTCCCCTCAGCAGTGTATTTCATTGATTTGCCTGTTCTGCTCCCACATCTATCTCTGGTGAATCCTTTCACCTCCACACCTCTGGCCTGTACCCCAGTTCTATACACATAAATAAATAATGCCAGGTGTGAGACATGGAAGTTATTAGCATGACCAAATGAGAAAGGGATTTCTGAAAACACTGCTAGCTTTTTATATTCATGGGGCTACTTAAAAACCAATGACTACTTCTTTCTTGACTGTAAAATTGCTACAAGTGGGCCTCCCTGGTGGCAAAGGAGGTAAGATCCCAGAGATATAAAGCTATTGCCATCCACTGAGGCCTGAGTCAATCCTGGCCAAGGAGCTGACCCACGCGGTGCAGCAGACCTCCCCTGTCATGCCCACTGCTCCCCTCAGCAGTGTACTTCGTTGGATCTGCCTGTTCTGCTCCCCAATCTATCTTTGGTGAATCCTTCTCCCTCTTTCACCCCCACACCTCTTGTATGCATAAATAAATAAAAAACAATCTTTTAAAAAATTGGTACAACACATTGTCAAGCATTTAGAAAACATAAAGCACACATCAATATATGTACATGTGCGTAGCTCAGTTATCCTAGAACCTAGAAAAATCAATATATTTTATAAAAGTTGGTCTGTTAGACTTTCTGGCTCAACTTAAACTGGGACTAAAACAGTAAAGAGGTTAAATTTTGGCTCAAAAATCTGTTTGCACTAATTTGCAGTATATAACTTTTGGATACTACACGTACGTGACACGAACAGGTCATGAACTACAATTCCAGACTATAAGAAAATGTGCAGCTAGCACATTCTCTGTATGGCCAGACTATTTGATTAATGAAATAATTTCTGCAGTATTGGAAGTATAAGCTGTTCTTTCATTTTTATAATGAAGTTATTTTAGGGTATGTCTTGTGAAATCAGCTTAAGTCTTTGTATTTTTATCATTATTATAAATACACATTATCACATTGGAAAACGGAGGTGAAGGTTAAAGTGGACGCTCAAGGTGGGAAGCCCAAAGCTGTGTCCCCTCCTTTGGAAGGGGTCAGAAGAGGAGGGCCAAGCCTGGCTTCCAGCCCTGTCCTAAGAGCCAGGGATTCAGAGTGGGGAGGAATGTGGGCCTCTTTCCCTCTTGCGCAACTGCTTGTTCCACAAGAAGCTCCTTTCTCCAGCTCTTTCCTCCTGTAATGTAAATGCTCCTTAACAAAGTGTTTTTAGTGTGTGGGTGCTGGACAAAGAGTTGTATTCACTATGAACCAGGCCTCCTCCCTGCTGGTAACTTTAGATGCCTACAGCAACTACCCAAAATTTAATTCAGCCAAAGTCATCAAAGCTTTCCTTTCTACTCTGGCAGCTTTATGCTGCTGCAGAAGAGTATACAATTTAATACATTCAGCTGCTTCCATGATTGCCTTTTCATGACAAAAAGAAGTCACTTCCAAAGCATGGGTTAAGGTGCTGAGGTAAAATAAGGACAGCTCTTCAAAAGTAATTTGCACTTGTACTGAGGTCTTGACATTCCATCATTTGTAAGTAATTATCATTCTCAAAGTATTGGGATACTCTAAGGAATAAGAGGTACAAATTTACAACTAATTATCATTGTTGGGTGACCATTCATTTTACCTCTCACCGACAAGTAATGGACATTAGCATTACAGAAATACCCCAGGAAGTGAGTCATCTTCCACTTAATCATTTTAAATTAATGACAGCATGATTATAATATGGGATGTATACAAATAACAGTAACTTTCAAGGTCCAAAGGTGGAAATAGCAGTAAGAAAAGTACTAAACATACCTGAACCAATTCTGCCCTTAGCTCTTCTTTTTCCTCCTCAGAGAGCATGCTAGAGAACTCAGCGTTGGCTACTGTATCTTCATCTCTTCCGTGCAATGGTTCAGCCTCCAGCAAACCTTAATGAGGTGGAGAAAACATAATGCAATTTTTTAAAGTGAACTGGACAATTTCTGTTTCTATTGTCAGGTTAAGTAGTTACACTGACAGACCTTTTCACTGAAAAACAAGCAGCGTCCAGGAAAAAAGACAGAACAAAAACAAAAACAAAAAGCTAAATGTGAGAGTGGCTAACAAAAAAGTCTAAAGCCAAAAACTTAAGTGAAAGCGGAAATCCAGACACATAAACAAAAACAAGTCTCCGTGAGTCTCATGGTTGCCATCCAGATGAATCCTAGCTTTAGGCCTCACAGTCTCCTAGGGGGCAGAAGAAAGACCATGGCCACCCAAGAAGAGGAGTTAAAGGTGAGACTCCCACATGAATTGGCACCCCCCACCCCCTACATCCTGGGAGTAAGGACAAGAGGAACTTCTCTCCACAGGGGTCTGCAGGCAGATTGCCCCTCTCCACAGACAGCATTAAATAGACAGGCCAAAGGTCCTCCCCTGACAATTATAAACTTGGGGGGGTCTGCCAGACAGCTTGCAACCTGAACACCTGGTACCTGTGCATTTCAATACCTTTCTCCACTTCGGTGTGTTCATATCTGGATATAGAACCAGTGAGGAAGCGTCCCTGACAAACTGATTCTAGCAGAGGGAAAGGATGAAGCCCTTGGATGAAATTGTATGTCATACACACAAAAAACACTGTAAATAGGGAGAGACATAAGTATTCAGTGGTGTGTTCACAAAAGAAATACTTGACAATAAAATGACAAGCAGTGCTTAGATGAGACTCAAAAATAAGACACTGAGTGAAACTTTATTATGCAAGTTGCTGCATAATAAAATATAACCCCACAGACACAAAGTCCAAGCACATGCAAAGTTAAACGAAGAATAAAGTGACACAGAAAGGCAAGGCAAAGCTAGAGAATCACGACCCCGGGTTTGTCTGAGGAGAGAGGACGGGAGACCCCGAAGGGGATCGCCATCGCATTTGCTGCTCCATGTCCAGAACACGGAATCTCTGTGCACCAGTATTTCCTGTGCTTTAATCTTACTTGTAAATATGTTTTTGTCCTTTATTATTTACGTGATTAAAATAGAATTTGTTTAAAGTCCAAGGAGAAAGGTTAATAATTATGCTCCAAAACAGGGCACTCTAGGTGAAGAGTAAAACTATGGCAAAGTTTTCCTCCAGCTGGCCGCACTCCAGTACCTGGTACCCACATCCTTTTGTTTGAGTCAAGTGTTCCATTGGTGAAGGGAGAGGGACTAGACCTCAAGGTACTGGAGCCCTGAGAGACAAGGCGTCCCCAGGAAACATACCGAGAGAAAAGTCAAAACCAAGAAAAGAGCCTATGACACTATCACTGGTTAATCTGCATTAGGACATTAGCTCAGGTTGATTGATTAAGAAACTGCATGATCACCACAGCTCACCAAATATGAGCTTAATATAAATATGATCCAAAATACGAGTTTAATTATAAAAAGTTGACTCCTCTCCTGCTGGCAGGAGTTAGCCTGCTTCTTGAACCCTTGTGGCTTTGCTCCCAGGAGCTCGCCTGTGTCTTTAAATAGTTACTTGTGCCTGCTTTCCTTACTGCTGTGTGTGTGTGTGTGTGTGTGTGTGTGTGTGGTGTTTCAATTCTGGTTCTGCTGGTACTGTACTGATTACCTGTATGTAGCCGGTTAAGAGTGGGGCTAAAAAGTCAGTTAAGCAGAATAAGAGTAGCTGTATAGGAAATCTGTATCTAAAGACAAGCAATAATTAAAGACAAACTATTCCTATCTTCCATAATGCACCACTATAAAGCCTTCATGTACAGCTTTCCAGATCTTTCCTGTAGCGTATACTACACCCCAACACACCTTAACATCTCAGAAATCAGGAAACCTTCTGCAATCAATAGTGTCCTACAATTAATTAGCAGCATTTTTGCCTTTCTTAGTGGAATGTAAAACAATACTATCTTAAAGTCTTCAGAACCTTAGAATTCAAAAATATGTAGATAGATATAAAATGTAATATAAGAATATATTGATCCATAACATGTATCCAACACATATGTGCATGTTATATAGCTACTTGTCTAAAAACCATCACATTGTTTTATAACTTGAATTTTTTCAATTTCCTCCTCTCATCTTTTTTCATCTCAACTGAAACCGACTTGTCAAAGGTCTCCAATCAACCCATAAATTATCTATAGCTGATTTGTCCAAACTGAAATGCAATCCACAAATGCACACATACCTTGTTGTTTTACCCCTCTAACCCTTTCTCCATAACTGAATAGTGATTCATGGCAGAGAATAGGCTCTGTCTAGTCTCAAAATATTCATCCCAATATTTTGATTAATGATTCATCAGATGATTGCAATACAATGCAGTACAACTGGAAAGAGGATAGCTTTTGGGACATACAAATCTTAAGAAGAATTCTAGCTTCATCTCTTTCCGGCTTTTAACTATAATAGTTTGAAAGTCAGTCTTTTTATCTGTAAGAGAAAAGTAATAATAACAACCCTCAAGATTAGATTGTCATAAGTTACAGTTTGCCAAATGCCAGCACGGTGTCTGGTATATTCCCCAGTCTGTTCATGCATGAGTGACATTTTTCCTTGACTAGAATCATTCATTAAACTATGAGAATACAAGAAGTTGAAGAATTATTCTGTCCTTAAGAGGTTAAAAAGATTCCACTGTAGAGACAAGCCACTCACATGTAGAGTTTAAGTAGTTTATAACCCACAGCAGTATATAAATATGCACAGAATGAATGTCCTAAAGAAATATAAACCCACATATGCCATGCTCCGCTTATCCTGTTAGGTTAAATGGCCTGGTTTCTAGAAGGGAACCCCACATTGAACCACAGTAGCATAGCCCACTCTTTCTGGCTATTACTTAACGGACTAGGAAAGACACCTGATCCAGCAGCAGCTTCTCAACTCGCATCCTGAGATTTTAAACTAAGAGATAGAGTACAGATAAGCAGAATAATGTTGAATAGCTACTCGCAGAATAGAGCACAGAACTAAATCTTCCTCAGAGATGCCTGACCCATGGTCTGTTCATTTGCTCAACAAACATTTATTTAACCTCTACTTGGTGCTAAATATAGGTCTCTACTCTCGTGGAATTTATAATCCTGCCTGTCCCAAGAAAAGATTGTATGAATTCTCTTAATTTCCATGAGCTTTTTCTTTATCCTTAAAATTAGCCTCATTTTCCTAACAAAAATAATGAACAACCATATATACCAGAGACATTCTGTGAGGGTGGAGTGGGGAATGGGATCAAAAATGGGGGGGGGAGGAGGGGAGGGAAATGCACTGGACTATGGTGGTGGCTCAGGGGTGATTTGGTGATGGGAAACCCGCGGGGATTATAATCGAGATGGAAAAAAAAAGTGTGCAAAATGATGTAAAAATAAACTTTGTAATAAAAAAAAATTAACCTCATTTTCCTTTGAACAAATCGGAATGTCTTTATTTCCAGACAGATGAACTCTGTATTAAACAGAGGCAATGATATTCTAATATTCAGGTAAAAGAGATCATTGTGATCTCTCTGCCAAGCTTTGGTTCCATGATTTCAATGACTTGCCATGACCTAAAATGAACTTGCTGTGACTTAAAAATTCAGAAAATTATGCTTGCTACAAACTGGCTCTCTCTAAAACTGTAGACGTCACTTTGTCATTTGTAATCTTTAAGATCTTCTCTGAGGGCCTTCCTGGTGGTTCCAGGTTAAAATCTCAGGGCTATAAAGCTACCACCAGCTTCTGATGCATGAGTTCGATTCCTAGCCAGCTAACCCACATGGTGCAGCAGCCCTCTCCTCTGTCTCACCCGCTGCTCCCCTCAGCAATATATTTTAGTAGATCTACCTGTTATGCTCCCCACTGTCTCTGGTGAATCCTTTCCCCACTCCCCCCACCTATGGTCTACACCCCAGTTCTTGTATGTATAAATGGGAAAAAAAAAAGACATTCTCTGATATGGTGTAAGGAGCCAGGCCATACATAAGCCATAATGGTGATGTTCTTTGCTTTCCAGAATCAATCCCCCTTCACTCTTACAGAAGAAGTGAGCCAATACTCACCTTGCATACATCCTCGAGCATTTGTGGACTCGGAAACACTATTCAAGCAACTGATTGCTGATGTAGTCGGATCCTTAAGGAGATATTGTTAAGTTTGAGTTTTCATAGCTGAACTGGAAACAACCTTGTACATGCAAAGAGCAGAGCCCAGAAATCTTGGCTAAACCAGAAGAGCGGGAGACACTTCTGAAACTATAATGAGTGTCTATGAAAAAACCAACCAGGAATTTCCTGGAGGTGAGGTTATAATGAGGGGTCCTGAGTTCATTATAAACTCTAGGAAGCTCCATGTTCCTCATTTGCAAAGTCTATTTTGGGGAAATAGGTGTTATGTTCTTTTTTACCTGTCGAAGAAGGACAGAGGGGGGGGGTTCTCCACTCCAATTTTGGGGGTGGGCTCAACATGTCTGGTCATTTTGTCAGCCTAGACCAAATCAGACTCCATGGTTCCATCTGAATCATATGGCCATAGCATATGATAGCAGTTGAGGGCTATCTGCCTTCAAGATGATGGTCAGGGTCAGCAGGAGATAAAGCAAAGGATGTAAACAGATTGGGCTATTTTCCAAGAAATCTGACCTAGGTAAAACCCAGTCTCAATGGTCAATAAGTGGAAAATAAGTGACAAAACACAACAGGATTCTGAGGCCGTAGAGCACAGCGATGTTGGCCTCAACAGTTCTGGGCAAACACCCACAAGCTCAGAGTTACCACCTAGGGTCTGCCTCTTCATTTTGCCCTCCAGATTTAAAAGTTGTCTTCACTAGCCTAGCACCTTCTTTCATAAGAGGGAAGAGCAGTGGGGGAGGGGATCTGAAGACTAGGGTGGCTCTGGGTCAGGCCTCGCCCTCAGCAACGCTGCTGGCCCTCCATCAGCACCTACCACTCTCAGAAAGCCAC